TTGGTTTTTTAAATATAATTTTCTTTTCTACTTGTTACTTAAGCTTTTTTATTTTATTTTTTTCTATCTATAAAACAAAATTAATGTTTTTTATTTTCTTGTCAATTAATTTAGAAGTTAGAATTTTTCTAATCTACATAATAAGTTTGAGCTTTTATGATATTTGTTTTTTTGTTAGTTTATTTTTTTTGAAAACAAATTTCCATTTTGTTTTGAAGGATACTATTTTTTGGATTTTTAACATAATTTTCTTTTCTATTTGTTATTTAAGCTTTTTTATTTTTATTTTTCCATCTATACGAAATTAATGTTTTAAATTTTGATGGAAGCTATATTTTTCTTTTAACACACTTTTCTTTTCTATTTGTTACTTAAGCTTTCTTTATTTTGATTTTTCCATCTATAAAGCAAAATCAATGTTTTATATTTTCTTGACAATTAATTTAGAAGTTAGAATTTTTTTAATATATATTATAAGTTTGAACTTTTATGATATTAGTTTTTTTGTTAGTTTAACTCTTTTGAAAACAAAATTCTATTTTATTTTTAAGAATACTATGTTTTTGGTATTTTAACATAATTTTCTTTTCTATTTTATACTTAAACTTTTTTATTTAATCTTTCCATGATTAAAATGAAATTAAGGATTTAATCAAACTTAACATTTTTTTGTTTAATAAAAATTGCTGATGTGGATCAATCATATCGAGTTTTTAATCACATGTGGACTTCATTAATGCACTATTCCATCAACTTATATATTATAGACTAGGTATATAATTTGCGCTACGCGCGAGTCTATATTAATATTTTGGTTTAATTTTTTTAGCTACTATCTTTAAAATTATTAAAAATATAATATATTTATAGAAATTTTCATTTATATAAGATAATTTAATATATGTTTTGTAATTTATCCTATTTTATTTATAAATTTTAAAAAATTATTTGGTAAAATAATAACAATGACACATATCAAATCATTCAACTTTGACGTACATATACATTTGATTTAGAGAAATATAATCTTGCTAATATTTAGATATTATTTTATGTTTTCCATAGAATTTCTATAATTCTTTTTTTCTTAAAGGTTTATGTGTTCAAATATTTAGTTTTTTTTTTAAGTCTTATTGATGTTGTGCATATATAATCAATGATTCATGTTGATTTGTATTTAATTTTGTTAGGAAGCTAAAATGATCATGCAAAACCATTTTTTTCCTTCTCTATTATGTCTTTCAAGAGTTTTATGTTATATTTTTATTTAGTTTTCATTGTTTTAATTGTTAAATCGACTTGTTGTAGATTATTTTTAAATTGATAATTGATAATGGTTACTTTTTTTTATACATGTATTGTTAATTGTTAATTTTTTATTTAATTTTTAAAATTTTAAACCATATTAATATTTTCTGATATAATAAATATGTTGATTTGGATCAATCAAATTGAATTTACTTTTTTATTGGACATAATTTATTAAATTAACTTTTAATGTTTTAAAATACTTAATAATTTTGGTTTGATTTAAAAGCTGATGTGGACCAATTAAATCAAGTTTTTCTGTCATAATCATACTTAATATTTTTTTATTTAATGAATATGCTAATGTGGACCAATCATATAGAGGTTTTTAATCTTATGTGGACACCTTCAATGCAATATGCCATCAACTTTTATATATTATATGATTACTTTGGAATTTACTAATAGTTTTATTTTAACATATTTATATTATATATATATATAATTTTACAGCTTCTTTTATCCAAATTTGAAAAATATAAATTCACACACGAGGTGATGTTTCAATAAATCAGCTCATTGGTTTTTATGTGGTTTTGAGCAATATAAATAATTTTGAAAAGATACAAATTATAGTTGTGATGAAAAGACACAAACGTTTATAATGAAAAATGTATTTATTTATAATAAAAAGACACAATCATTTATAATGAAAAGAAGCAATCACAAATTTTAAAACGGTACAACTTATAGAAGTACAAATGACATTTATTCGGATTGTTATTATAAATAGAGATAGAGAGTAAGTTGGTTAAACAACTTGTAAACTCTTTTTTTACAATAGTCTCTATTCCTATACCGGTTTAGAAAACCAAGTCAATAAAATTTAGTTTACATATTCTAAATAATAAAAGAAGTCTTTAGTACTCCGTGCTAAGCTGTATGTGCGTGATGTAGAAAAAAAAACACTATTTTCTGCTTATCTCATATTCTTCTAGATATAGTGAGAATGTTAAACATTCTTTTGTGGATGCACCATTGTTACCAATTCAGAATAGTCCATAATAAAAGTCATCATCAATCTCCTAGCGTTGAGTATGCAATGCATAGTACAGATCAAAGTTTCAAATTCCACATACAATAAAAATATGCTGCGCCATACATTTTAAACACCTATTAATATAGATACTGGATTTGTATCTAGACAATATCATCCCAAACCTGCATTAGTTATAGTTTCTTTCCAAGAACCACTTATATGGTAATGCATATCATGCCGTATATGTAATATCGGGAAACTTGTAAATTTAATAAACATTTTTAAGAAGAAAAAAAAACTACTTCCTAAAATTTCTATATGATCGGTTTTTACTTTATTACGTTTAGAAACAACAGTAAGACTATATTTTTAAAAAATGGGATAAAAAGGTGCTGAATAATCTTCGGGGTTTTTATTAGAAAAAGAACAAATGGTTTATGTGCTAGAAATAACCAGCAAAAGAATGACGAAATATTATTTTTTTCAGTTTTTGTAGTAAACGAGAAGACAAAAATTTTAGCCCTCGCGTGTTATCAACTTACCTTAAATGAGAAAATAAAAATTTGAGAAGAGATGACGTAAAACATAAGAAAAAATAATGGAAGAGTAATTATTAATTAAGATAAATCTTATTATTCGGATAATCACTCTATTTTTTTAAGTATGATGTTTTGACATCTTCATACATTTTAAAGCACACTTTAATAATAATTTTTTATTTTACTTTTTAACTATTTTTATTTTTAATAATATATTAATATCACTTTTCACTTCATTATTAGTTAAAAGCTTTTTGGAAAACTAAATATATTATTTAAAACCTGAAACATCAATCTTTTAAAAACAAAGAAAAAAACTAAAACATCGTACTTTTAAAAACGGAGAGAGATATTTATTATGATTTTTCTGAAAAACTATAGAAACATAACTTGTAAAATTGTATGCTTAAACATCTATAATACTATATATATTGTATTTTATATATATATATATATATATCTTTATATAATATTATTGTTAATTTTATAATTTAGTTTATAGATTTCTACATTATATATTATCTCTCTATATTTCTATATAGAGATGTCTGATCACATAACAATAATATTATAGATAGTTATATATATATATATATAGATTTATAAAATCGTATGTACATCTATATATTTATTTATAAAGTAGTAGTAAATTGCGAATGTAGTATTATGTATATATAGAGAGATCTAATATAATATATATATACATATTCATTTATAGAATAATATTAATTTACAAATTAGTTATATATGTGTAAATATATGTAAATGTTTAAAACAAAGCGTTGGAATCCTCAAAACTGGAAGACATACGATATGAAACTCTAAATTGCCAAGATCTTGGTTGCAGGTAACTTGTACGGAATTCCGAATCAGAAAATCCAAGCACAATGGACTGATGATTCATAGTGGACCAGGGATTAAGAGAGAGAGGGTTAATCCCGAAAAATTGATGATCTTGATGATTTTGTTTTGATAATATTGTTGAATATAGAAGAAGGTGAGAGGGTAAGAAAAAAAAATTACAGCGGCCAGAGAAAGTTAGTAAAGAATAAGAAAGGTCAATCCTAAAAAGTAGATCAATATTGATCCAAATCTAGCCGTTCGATTTTACTGGGGGTCCCACTTTTATTGTTACATATTTTGATCTAATTAATTTAATGCATAGATTTCTAAATGGGTCTTGTTGTTTTATAAATTTACACCCGGTCCTTCACTAGTTAGTGGTAATACCCAATTGCCTTAAGCCTTTATAAACATTGGCGTTGACTGATCGTTGTTGTGAAAATGAAGTCATTAGTCATTATTCAGTTCAGTTTCCGGTGGTATGTCACCCAAGGAAAATATAATCGTAACAATCATAGCTATATTACAAGTATGATTTAGGAAAATACTACTCTTAATAACAAATTCTTCAATTCTTCAATTCGATCCGGTGGTTGTTAACTATTTCTATAATTAATTAATTTTGCAAATAATATTTACAATTGAAATGAGTCTTATACGTTTGTAATTGACATCATTTACAGAAAAGAAACGAATCTCCAAACTAATGTCACAAAAGAAAATTAATTATTTTACCAGCTAATTTTCCTTCACGGTGCCTTGAAAATATATACACACCTACTTCTCTACAAGGCCAATGACTGTAGTAGAGACGCATCTTGTTTCACAATAAACACAAAATATCGCCTCAGATTTACAGTATGCAACTATTGAAAGTTTGCGTTTACATTAGAAAATCATTTGCATTTTAGAAAAATTGAACATTTTCAACTCGTTTTCTTTGCAAAATGGAAACGCAACCGCCAGCAATAAATTGAAACTTTTCATTCCATTTTTTTGGGCTTTTAACTTTACAATTAACAAATCAAAGTTTAATTAAAATAGTCAAGAATGTGGATTCACTTGAAAAATACAACACTCTACATGTAGTACATATAAATACCAACGTAAAAGCAAACTACAATCGATAATTTAATCTACAGATATATTGCGACATTTAAGACGACATTAATGACCGATATCATGTTATAAGACAACACACATGCATGAGTCCTAATATGCATATAAACAATATCATGAGAAAGATATTTGACTTGGGACTATCAATAAAATTTGATCATCACTAATAAGAAAACGGAGGCCACGGTCTAGAGTCGCAGCCGGTGAAACAGATGTTGCCGCAAGCAAAGGGGAGAGAGCTTAGATGGATTGTTTCTCTATTGGTTTCGACAGTCGTGCTGTCACTTGTTCTCTGCCATTCGGCGGCACTTGTTCAGCCACAACCGCAATTTCCAACTTTTCCTGCGTTTGTGCCGCCGCCGATAGCAGCGAAACAAGAAATTAACAACACTGATACCGTTAGTAATTTATTCATCAACATGTAAATCATTATAGGAATCAGGTTTTTTCATCAAGTTTACATCAATTATATGTATGCACGAAATATACGTATAAGTAATGTAGCTATTTTTTTTTTAATTTAAAACACGAGACATTATAATTTTATATGTCCCCCTAAGAGTAGGTAGTCTACATTTTATGAATATAGAAATCTACTCAAATTGAATAATAGTTTAGCATTTTCAACCAGTCATCAGAAAAATAATAATAGCATATGGATTGGTATATACAAATCATATCTCTTACTATTATTTTGTTTGGTTGATAGTTTGAGGCAGAAGATAAGAGAAATTTGGTGAGAATCTTGAAGGAAGCATCGTTGAAGGACAAGAAAACGGTGATAGTGACGATGATGAATCAGGCGTGGGCGGAGCCCAATTCTACTTTTGATGTGTTTCTTGAGGGATTTTTTAGCGGCGAACGGACGGAGTTGCTGCTCCGCCACCTCGTGGTGGTGTGTTTGGACGATAATGCCTACGCAGAGTGCTTGGAGGTCTTTCCCCGCCGTTGCTTCTTTCTGAGGACTACCGGAGTTGATTTATCCGGCTAGAAGCGGTTCATGGAGGCGGATTATGTCAAGATGATGTGGCGCCGAACCGAGTTCTTGGGTTCTTTGCTTAAGCTTGGATATAACTTCCTCTTCACGGTACCTCTCTAAGCTTGCATCTTTTATATAGAGAGATGAACATTCAGATATCAGTTTACTTTGGTTATTTTGGTTTATTAATTCAATTTGAACATATATGTTTTGGTTTTATTCGGTTTGACAACATTCGTTTTGGGCTTTGGATGAGGAAAGAAAATATAGATAAACTAATTTTAAATACATCTTTATTTTTATTAATACGATTAAACCTGTTTTAAATAAATATTATAATTTTTTGTTAATTGTTTTAGTTTTTACATTAAAATAATGAAACCGATCTAGCTGTAAGTAAATCTCGGGTTTGTTTTGACTTCAAAATTGTAGTTTGGTTTAGTAACTAAACTTTAGTTTGATTTACATGATCACCCCTACCGATTTATCTTAAACCCGAATTAGTAATATTTTATAATATAGTTTTCCACTAAATGTTTGTGAAAACAAGGACATGGATACAGTTTGGCTTCGAGATCCATTTCCTCGATTAGTTGAGGGTGTAGATTTTCAGATCGCTTGCGAATTCTTCTTCAACGGAAATTTCAGTGACAGAGGCAATTCAGCCAATGGCGGATTCAAATACGTCACTGCAAACAACAGAACAATCGACTTCTACAACTATTGGTATGAGTCCAGGCTAAGATTCCCCGGCAAAAACGACCAAGACGTGCTTAACCGGATCAAAGGAGATCAATACGTTGAAACAATCGGGCTCACGATAAGGTTTTTAGATACAAACGACGTTGGAAGTTTCTGCCAACAAAACTGGGATATTACCAAAGTCTGCGTAATGCACGGGAACTGTTGCATTGGACAGGATAATAAGATCATGGATTTGAGACAAGTGCTTCGGGATTGGACTATATTCTATTCCTATTGGGACTTGAAAAGAGAGTTTCGACAGCCGCTGAATTGCCGGAATAGTTTCCTGTTGAACTTGTCTTTGTCTTGATCGAAGTCATAGATTGCTTCGTTTTTTTTTTTTTTTTTTTTTGCGTTTAATGTGACATTTCTCAAATAAACTCATACCTTGACTATTTTTAAACAAAATCTCTTTAGTAATATTTATAAACGTAAACGTCGAACGTAGAAAAAAAATGTAAACGTCCAACGCAAAAGTAATAAAGAAATCATAACCATGTGATGTGGTTGTATAAGATCATCAAGCAGAATATGTCCTTCCGCATTGAGCTGCACTACCACATCAGTTTCAGGAAACACTTCGTGCAGATACTTAATTAATGTTGCTAATTATATTTACAACTAAAGTGAGTCTTACACGTTTGTAAATGACATCATTTATAGAAAATAATTGAATCTTCACTCTCTTGATTGTATTGGTTTACTTTTATACGCCAAACTAATGTCACAAAAGACAATTAATTATCCTACCAGCTAATTTACGTTCACGGTGCCAAGAAAAGGATATACACACACACCTACATCTCTACTCGTGTAAAGCCCTCGACCGCTCCTACCGGCGAGTCATCCATCCCTCCGTCGGGTTCGTGGGCCTGCTCCTATCTGACGGTCGGTACGTTATTTTTTTCCAGAGCCCTACCGACTTATTTACTGACCCTGCAATCACCACATGATTTGTTCCCGTGTTTTGGTCTCACTCACACGGTTTCGAGAATCACTTCCCGAAAGGTCACTTATCCTAGTCTTACTCCAGCATAAACACCTTTAACTGTAGAATTTTCTCGGGACCTGTGACCGAAAAGATAAGTGCACTTTGATGGTAGCCAAATTAATCCATTTAAACTTATTCAAATGGGCCGGGTCCGGATCGTTACAATTCTCCCCCACTATACGGGAATTCATCCTCGAATTCTGATCCCGACAGTGCGAGCCTTAACCCTCAAACCCCAAGACAGTCTCTTGGGACAGAACTAGTTTGTCTTCCCAGGCTCTGATACCACTTGTAAGGCCCCCGACCGCCCCTACCGGCGAGTCACCCATCCCTCCGTCGGGCTCGTGGGTCCCGCCCCTGTCCGACGGTCAGTGCGTTATTTTTTCTGGAGCTCCACCAACTTATTTACTGACCCTGCAATCACCACATGATCTTTCTCCGTATTTTGGTCTCACTCACATGGTTTCGGAAATCACTTTTCGAAAAGTCATCCATCCTAGTCCTACTCCAGTATAAGCACTTTTAACTGTAAAGTTCTCTCGCGACCTGTGACCGAAAAGATAAATACACTTTAATGACATAGATAGCCAAATTAATCCATTTTTCTGGATTGTTACAACTCAGCCAAGAAAATTAAATATTTAATACTTGGGACTTGGGAGACCCATCTTTTTCACAACACGTAAATACAAAAATCGTCTCAGATTATATTAAACGCGACTTTTGAAAGTTTGCGTGTACATTAAAAGAAAGATCACATTTTAAAAATAAACATTTCCAACTTATTTTCTTTGCAAAATGACAACGCAACCGCGAACAGTTATTGAATAAAGATTTATAGTAGAATTATACTTAAAAATAGTACTATTTATGTTTCACAAAAACTGTCCTTTCAAAGTTTTATCTCTTGTGACCGATCATTCTCATGTAGTATACTCTCATGTAACCACATACGCAATAATAATATACTCTAATGACATGTAACCACAAACGCAAAAATAATATAATCTAGGGGCTAACAACAGCCGAGGATTTAATATATATATATATATATATATATATATATATATAGCGACATTTCAGTTGACGTTAATGATTGATCATGTTATAAGACAATACACATGTATGAGTCCGAAAATACATATAAACAATGCCAACAGAAAGATATTTGACTTAGGACTATTTATCAAATATGAGCATCACTACGAAAATGGCAACCAGCTTTAGCACCGCCGTCAACAGAGGCGGTGGCGGTCTAAAGTTGCAGCCGCTGAAGCAGATGTTGCCGCAGCTTCAATCAAAGTGGAGAGAGCTTAAATGGATTGCTTGTCTCTTGGTTTTCACATTTTTGCTGTCTCTATTTTTCTACCATATAGCCTCACGTATTCAGCCACGGCCTCTACCGCTACCGCAACAGTCTAGCATTTCTGATTTTGTGCCACCGTTCATCACAGCCAAACCAAAATCTAACAACACTAACAACGTTAGTAACCTAATTTCGTGTTTTACATAATTATCATATCATCGGAAATATGTTTATACATCAACTGTACGTATGTTATGCTAAAAGTAAGTAACCTACCATATGTAAATGAAATATTGATTTTAGATAAAGCTTTAGCATTTTCTACCGGTCACCAAGTAATAACTGTTGCATATATAATAGATATTATGTGATATAAATTAGCGTATACAAATGATATAATTTAGCTTTGTTTGGTTGATAGTTTGAGGCTGAAGATAGGGGAAACTTGGCAAGTATTCTAAGAGAAGCAGCGATGGATGAGAAGACGGTGATAGTGACTATGATGAATAAAGCTTATGCGGAGCGAAACTCAACTTTCGATGTGTTTCTTGAGGGATTTCGAGTGGGAAACGGCACCGAAAGGTTGCTCCGTCACGTTGTAGTGGTGTGTTTGGACGACAAAGCTTACTCACGGTGTGTGGAGGTCTTCCCTCACCGTTGCTTTATGCTGAGGGCTACCGGAGTTGATTTCTCCGGCGAGAGGCTGTTCATGGTGGGGGATTATCTAGAGATGATGTGGCGTCGAACCGAGTTCTTGGGTTCTTTGCTTAAGCTCGGATATAACTTCCTCCTCACGGTACCGCTCTAAGCTCATCGAATGCATTTTTCATTTAAAACAAAAAAAACAAAAGTCCTGTTGTTCGTTTCCGTCTAGTTTGGTTTAGTTTTTTTTATTACAACTTGGTTATGAAATTTTTATGACCGAAATAAGACTTTTATATTAACTTTTATAATTAATATTCTATTATTTTAATGTAATCAAAATTAGATTAATTAATTATTTATTTTTTAATTACATGCTAATAAATTTATATATTCTTTATAAATGCATAATATAATTTATATTTTCTGGATAAAATTATCACATACATAATTATTATCGACAAAATATATACATATGTATTATATATTTATGTAATTAATAATTTATTATTATGAAGCAATTAGAATTAGATTAATTAATTATTTATCTTTTAATTATATACTAATTAAAATCATATCTACATTACATAAGCATAATACAATTCATATTTTCTGGTGGAGAAAACGTTTATCAGATATATAGTTATTATTCATATAATACATACATATGTATTATATATTTATTTAATTATACAACATTTTTAGGGAAAATTTAGACATAATAAATCATCATTAAAATTATAAGTATCTCATTCGAAAATAAAATATGTAATAATAGATAAGTACCTTTTTTATCATACATTTTAACATCATATATTTATTTAGTTGTATCACATTTGAAAAATATAGTGTTGCATCATCAAGTTAAAAAAATACGACAACTAGAAACGAAAGCCAAAAACTATTACTATTGTTCATGAAAAAAGATTTTAAGTATACAATAAAATAAATTATAACTAAAGTTTTTAATGAATTATATTTTGAAACAAAAATCCACGCATCCCGTGGGTACTCATCTAGTATTAATAAAACCAGTCGAGTTATAATCAAATATTGGTTTGGTGTTAACTGATTTTTAACACCTATCGTATATTTTTCTTCTATATAATGTCTAGGTTTTATAACATTGTTTCAGGACGTGGATACAGTGTGGCTTCGAGATCCGTTTCCTAGATTCATTGCGGATGCAGATTTTCAGATCGCTTGCGATTCCTTCAACGGAAATTTCAGCGACAACCGCAATTATGCTAATGGCGGTTTCCTATACGTGATTGCCAATTCCAGAACAATCGAGCTCTACAACTATTGGTATGAGTCCAGACTGAGATTCCCCGGAAAAAACGAGCAGGACGTAATTAACAAGATCAAATACGATCCATACATCAAGAAAATCGGGCTCAAGATGAGATTTCTCGACACGACACACGTTGGAAATTTCTGCCAACAAAACTGGGATATTACCAAAGTTTGCGTACTGCATGGGAACTGTTGCATTGGACAGGCTAATAAGGTTAAGGATTTAAGACAGGTTCTTGAGGATTGGACGAGTTTTTTATCCAGTGAAGACCCGACAATAGGGTTTCGACAGCCGATGAATTGTCGGAGAAGTCTAAGGCGGAGGTGGTCTCACAAAGGTTGATTTTTTATGTTAGTTTAATACAGATCAACTCTAATAATAATCTATATGTTTTTTTTTCTTCCAAATGAAGCCATGAAATTACATTTGAAATCATCAGGATGGAAGTTGAAATAGTAAAGAAATTTTTTCTGAGTTCCAACAAACATTCACTTTTACGACATTTCTCATTTCTACATCCGATAAAATACAAATATGTGTATATGAGTTATTAGATACAGGAGATCAAACTTTGGTATCATTGCCTGTATCACGCAGATACAGATACAAGTATACAACCAAATGAGCTGAAGGTTATTAAAAACAAACAAAAAAACATATGCGGAATTTATTTTGCATAGTGTATTTACCGCTAAAGTTACTGAAGTTTGTACGTGACATCATTCATTTATAGGAAAAGAAACTAGGATCTTGATTTGATTGATTGTATTGATTTACGTTTATACGTCATGCTAAATGTCACATAAGCTAATTATTACAGATAAGTTAATGACGCTCACGGTGCCTTGAAAAATATATACTCACCTACTTTCTACTCGGCCAAGAAAATTAGATATTTAATGCATATATTAGAGACGCATCTTTTTCAAAACAATATTCAATCTTAGCTAGCTCTAAGACTATATCAAACGCCACTTTTGAAAGTTTGCGTATAAAATGAGAAGAAAAGAAGTTTCACATTTTTAAAAAAATATAAAACATTTCCAACTTATTTTCTTTGCAAAATGCCAACACAACTGCCAATAACAAATGTAATTTTTTTTCTTCGCTTCTATTTGTTTCCTGCTCTTACCTTTACGAATAACAAATAATATATTCAACTAAAACAATTACGAAAATAACAGACTCAAATTAATATAAATACCAACGTACAAGCAAACAATCAATCGAGGATCTTATCTATATATTGCCACATTTAAGACGGCATCACTGACCGTTCATGTTATAAAACAATACACATGCATTACATAACCAAGATAAAGAGATTTGCCTTTAAAGACTATATGTGAAATCTGATTAACTTTAAGAAAATGGCGACAACGGACCACATAAAGAGAAGGGAGGTCACTTGACCCAGAGTTAATATTAAATTTTAAAAATTTAAACTAAAATAACAGAAAAAAGTGGTCCAGTTGGTTTATTTTCTTTGTTTGAACTCCCTAAACTTGAGTTCGAGTGTCTCCCAAAGCAATCATATTTGATTTTTTGTTTTGGTTTATAGTAATAATATAAATAAATAATATTTAAATTAATTTATGACTGAAATAAAAATATTTTAAAAAAACTGCCACTGAATGGCGACCAGTTTTAGCCCCACCGTCAACAGCGGTGGGGGCGGTCAAGAGTGGCAGCCGCTGAAACAGATGCTTCGACAACTTCAAGCAACCTGGAGAGAGCTCAAATGGATTGTTTCTCTACTTGTTGTCTACCGTTCGGCGACACTTGTTGTCTACCGTTCGGCGACACTTGTTCAACCTCAATTGTCAAGCTTTCCCGCGTTTGTGCCAGCCAAAGAAGAAATTAACAACACTGATAGCGTTAGTAATTTATTCTGCTACATGTAAATTATAGGGTTTATACATCAATGCACGAAAAAAAACTTGAGTAGTATTTCTATTTTTTTTCCTATTCTAATACGAGACTTTATAATTGTTCTTTATATGTACGTATCCTAAGAGTAGGTTGTTTACAGTATATGAATCTAGAAATTTACTATTCAATTGGAAAAATACTTTAGCATCCGGTCATCAGAGTATATAAAATAATATAATACAGTAAAACTTTTATAAATTGATAATATTAGTATTTCAAAATTTTATTAATTTATAGAGTTATCAATTTGCTGATAAATTATTAAAATATTAATTTATAGAGATATTTTTTGATTATAATTCTTAGAGACGTTATTGGGAGAAGGATTTATGTAGATTTTGAGAATTTTGAGATTCCATCATTATTAGTTTATTAATTCTTAAAATTTACTAGAATCCATTGTTATTAGTTTAAAGATTTTAAAATTCTATCCAAAATCCTTTGTTATTCAAAATTTTTGGCTTTTAAAGATTTTATGATTTTATTAAAATCTTGTGTTATTGGGATATGAATTTTAAACAATTTAACTTATAGAATAAAATTTTGGAAGACTTTCAAAATATTACCTATATGGCTTGGATTCTCAAAGTTATTATAATAAAATATTTTATAGATTTTCTAAATAAACAAACTCTTTCCAAATTTAACAAATCTTTTTAATAAATTTAACAAATCTCTCAATTCTTAAAATCAATCAAAACTTTATAACTTCATCTCCCAATAATCCCCCCCCCCCCCCCCCCCCCTAATATTTATGAAAAAACAATTTTTTAAAAAATATTTTAAAATTAATTAAGAAAAAGTCATATTAATGAATTTGAAAGATAAGTTAAACTTTATTTATGAACTTGCAACAATAATATAAATATATTTTACTATTTTATATTATTTATATATGTGTTTAAATATATAATTATTAATTTATATAATTATTGGAATTATATTTTTATATAGGAATTTTAAAAAATTAGTATCTTATTATTTAATTGAAATTTGCTAATTTTTACACTAGTTTGATTTGGAATTAGCAAAATTTATTAATTTATAATAATTATTAATTTATTGAATGTTAATTTATAGATGTATACTTAATAATGTCGTTCTAGTATATATATAGAGTGTAAGTATTCCGGCCTTCACCTAAAAAAAAAAATACTGTGATATAACTTAATGAATACAAATCATATCTGTTACTGTGTTGTTTGATTTGGTTGATAGATTGAGGCAGAAGATAGGAGAAATTTGGCGAGAGTCTTGAAGGAAGCATCGATGAAGGACAAGAAGACGGTAATAGTGACATTGATGAACCAGGCTTGGGCTAAGCCAAATTCGATATTCGATGTGTTTCTTGAGAGCTTTCGAATCGGCAATGGGACTGCTAAGCTACTCCGCCACACCGTGGTGTTGTGTTTGGACGATAAAGCCTACTCACGCTGCTTGGAGATCTTTCCCCGCCATTGCATCTTGCTAAGGACTCCAGGAGTTGATTTCTCCGGCGAAAAGCGATATATGGTGCCGGATTATCTCAAGATGATGTGGCGCCGAACCGAGTTCTTGGGTTCTTTGCTTAAGCTTGGATATAACTTCCTCTTCACGGTACCTCTCTCTAAGCTTGCATCTTTAATTTAGAAATGGGGCATTTGGTTATTCGATTTGGTTTTGATAGATGAGAAATAATTAAAAACAATAAACAATATTTACATTATAAAATTTGGTTTTAATTTAAGAATATTAGCTTAGTTTCGTTTAATCTTCAAAGAATACCTTAAAGCTGAGCTTGTAACATTTTCATAATACAGTTTGCCAAATATTTGTTTAAGAAAATAGGACATGGATGCAATTTGGCTTCGAGATCCATTTCCTCGATTGGTTGCGGATGTGGATTTTCAGATCGCTTGCAATTTATTCTTCAACGGAAATTTCAGCGACAGGCGGCACAATGAAGCCAATGGCGGATTCAAATACGTCATTGCAAACAACAGAACAATCGAGTTCTACAACTATTGGTATGAGTCCAGGCTAAGATTCCCAGGCAAACACGAACAAGACGTGCTTAACTATATCAAAGGAGATCAATACGTTAATGAAATCGGGCTCGAAATGAGGTTTATAGATACAGTGGACGTTGGAAGTTTCTGCCAACCAAACTGGGATATTACCAAAGTCTGCGTAATGCATGGGAACTGTTGTATTGGACAGGCTAACAAGGTTAAGGATTTGAGACAAGTTCTTGAGGATTGGGCCAACTTTTTCGCCAATGGCGACCGGAGAAGAGGGTTTCGACAGCCGATGAATTGCCGGCGTAGTGTCAGATGGAGACCTCACAGAAAGCACAGAAGGAGGGGTTGATTCACTTTTTTATTTACGTTGGTAAGAAGCAAGGCAAAAATAGCTAAATGAAGACGAAGAAAAAAAAACCTACCCTTTTTAATTCACACTAATAAATAATTAGATTAAACTTGATCTAAACAAGATTGAAAAGCAAGGCACAATTGCTTATTTGTGCGTTGAATGTAAATATGTAATGTGTCATTCTCTCTAATAAATCCATAAGTTCAAGTATCTTAAGCGAAGCTTCTTTATGTAAACGCCATAGGCAAAAGGAAAAGAAAGTTCCGTTTAGGTTCGAAAATTGCAAAAGTATTTAATACGTAAAACTGTAACTTACAAAAATAAAATCTCATGTAACACACAAACGCACCGCATTGAGAGATCCATCAACAGGCCTTACTTCCTCCATAAATTGTGTGATTGCATCATTCTCTGGTATTTCTATTGAGCCAGAGAAATGGACCAATTATACCATCGGGTTGTATATGATCTTCAAATAGAACATGTCGTCTTCTGCACTACCACATGGTCCTCATCGTTCATGTGAAACAAACGATTAAAGTAATTAAAAAAAGAAGGAAACAAGAATACTATTAGCTAGGTCTTAAAAAGACCATTTAAACTTTTATGATTACAGGAAAAAAGGAGTTTTAGAGAAACGAATATAATGTGAGATGGAAATGAAAAACCTGAAAGAAAGTAGGATATGCCAAATAGCCAGACTCATCCCTACATTTTTACAAATTGAGATCCTCTACATGGTCTACAAACACTTTTAACTCTGCTAGGGTTCTCAATCGATCCAAAACCATGGATTTCAACTCTTCGGAAAGTTCTCCTCACGGGATTGCAGTAGAAAACATAAAACGAATTACGAGTATAGTCTGTCGACAAAACGATTTCGCCAGCAGCAGTCACTCCAGCGACAGAAACAGAAGCATCGGAGCCAACGGCTTTTCTCTTCCAAGAACATCGGATATATTCCGGCCATTCCTCCGGCTGCTCGATGTTCTCTATAACCCACATAAACAAACCGGTACGCCTTCGAGCACCATGCAGCCAGATCCCGGCCAGCTTACCCTTGTAGTTTATCAGTTTAGTAGTAACAGGAGTCTTACTAAAGAATTTTTTTCTGTCAATAAACCTAAACTTCTCAGACCTAACATCAAAGCAGACTATCACAACATGCTGTGCATGAATTGGATATTTGATAGCTAAGTAATACAAAACCCCATTGATGCATACCCCTTCAGGTATAGGACGATGGTTTAAAGGACAATGGATCTCTCTCCACGAGACTTTTCCGGTTCCTAGTGTCAAAATTTTGGGCGGGTATCTTTCCAATATTGACAATACCTTGTATTGTTTGTCAAACGGGTCAAACCCTAAATAGCTACAAGATCTCTCCATGTTCCAGATCCAATTACTAGGTAAGCTCTCGCACTGCCCCGTGCTTGGATTACACATCACAAGCTCTGTAGTAGCCTCGTACTCGTCTGGGAAACGCACATGATGACGGAAACAGGTCAAACCAGATTCAAGGCCGAGAAAGTATGGCCTTATGTATCCGGGGAACTTCATGTGAAAATCGGCGGCTACAACAAGAGGCGACGACGACTTCTCGTATGGATTCTGAGGCTGAGGGGACGTCAAGAAGCACCACTCACCGGCTTGCGCGAGGGCTAATAAGAGACGTGGCCGAGCCCGTGATCCGGTCAGGAACAGCTTGGTGAAATATGGACGGTGAAGCATGCAACTCCATAGCTTCGACACGCAACGAAACCTCGCGACTGACTTTGCAGGCAGTCTTGAGAATATCTCGAGAACGAGATCATCCGGGATGAAATCTGAGTTTTCTCCTCTCTTCATCATCGTTTTATCATTTGCAGGTCTCAGTGAACTGAAAATCTCTTAAGGTTCGACCTATTTGACTCAATCAAGGTCGGCGCTAACCTAAGGCCCAAGAAGCTAGTTAGGGCTCTAACAACCCATTGAAAAATTCTTCGATCAACAAATCATTGAGATAAATTTATTTTTCATTTTATGTGTTAATCGAAGAATTTTTCAATGGTTTGTTATTGATTATCTCCGATGAAATTGGTTTATTTCAACGGTACTTGTAAAGAAAATTTGTCATAAAATCTGGCAAATAAAATAAAAAAATCCAAAGTCTTCCTTTGGAACTAGGCATAGTCTTTTCAATTTTGTGTTATGTCGATTTTCGGTTTTAGTTTTGTTCCATTCGACCACACAAAAATGACCTAAAAGAGTAGCTTCACAATACAGTTCCTCTTCTATTCTCAGATGCAAAATTAACATCATAGTGAAAGAATGTTTTTTATCTTTACATCAAAGGAAATTGGGATGACGATGATGTTTCTTGGCAACCAAATTGGGACATTACCAAAGTCTACAATAATATGCATAATATTTTTTTTTTTTTTGCAGTGGGAAGGGAAACAAAGGCTAATGATCTGAGACAAATGCTTAAGGATTTGGTAAATACTTAATTGTGTAGCATCATGCAAAAGGGTTTTGCTCCCTTATCTAAAATCCAGGTTTGCGAGAAACTTACAGTTGCAGGCCAAAAACTCGATCTAGCTCCCTGTTAGAAACTTTAGATCCTCAACATGGTCTACAAACGCACGAACTCTGTAACCCTGAAGCTTGTCCATTCCTTGGATTTCAACTCTTGTGAGAGTGTACCTATCAAGATCATAGTAGTAAACATAGAAGGGGTTAGATACACGCTTCTTCAACAAAACAATCTCACCTGCAGCAGTCACTCCAGCGATCGAAACAGAGGACTTGACCTCATCATCATTATCTTCCCACAAACCAGGCAAAGTGTAGACTCGTCTTGACCATTCCCCTTTACCGGCATCACCATCCTCTAAAACCCATAAACACAGCTCAAGGCTAAGCCTTTTACCAACATCGTTAGCACGCCACTCACTCGAAACACCTCCTAATTTACCCTTGAAGTTAACCAGAACACTAGGCCATATCGAGACGCCATTAACTGGGTGAATCAGCTTGAATCTCTCAGTATTTACACCAAAGCAAGCTATCACCAAATTGGAACCTACCACTCGACGAGCTACGTAATACAAAACACCATTGATGCATATACCTTCACTTACAGGATAATGTGTTAACTTGGCTTTTCTCAGCCTCCAATTCCCAGTTCCTAATGTCAGAATCTGAACCTCCTCGGCTGCAGAAGCTTCGCCATGGCTCATGAACAGTACCTTTGATTGTTTAAGAATCGGATCGTACCCGAAGAAGCTATGGCAAAACTTCTTCGTCGTTCTGGGTTTGGGTACACTCACGTGCTCCTTCGTCGTTCTCGGTTTGGGTACACTCACTTGTTGTCCCGTGCTAGGGTTACATAGCACAGGGAGTCTCCACCTCGAGGTCGGCGATACCGGGGAAAAGATCAATCCAGAGACAGGGGCGCAACAGCTTTTTAAGCACCATTCTGCAGGGAAACGTATGTGAAACTCCGCGGCGACTAAGAGAGACGACGGATCCTCCGGACTTTGAAGCTGAGGAGACGAGCAGAGGATCACGTCGCCGGAGTTTTCGAGGGCGATTAAGAGACGCGGGCGAGTCGAGGACCTGGTGAAGAACAGATCGGTGAAATATGGGCGGCGGAGTGTGGAGGCCCAGAATTTGGAGACGCGACGGAACCTAGCGATTGATTTCGCAGACGATCTCGAGAGGATCTCGAGGATGAGATCGGTTGATTCAATTGAGCTACGCACTCTTCTTCTCTCCATCTATTTTTTTGCGTCGGAGAGAGAATTGTGGTTTTTGATCAGAGGATTCTTGTTTTATGGTTTTTATATATATATATATATATATATATATATATATATATATATATAATATATAAATATGCGTATTAGTTCAATTCAGAAGATAAAACAATTTCGATTTAGGAATAACAATTTCGCCTTTTGCAAAATAAAAAAAAATAAAAAATTACTGAGTTAAAAAAATTAGTTTTGAATATTTTAGTAATTATTTTTTGAAAAATCTCCAATATATTTTAGTAACTTTTGTTGTGTTGCTTTCACACTATCCAGCGAAACTTAATACTTAAATATTTTGTTGTGTCCCTGATGCTGCCCTCCCAAATAGGCCACATTATCAAATGAGTCCAGCCGAACATGAAGAGTTATGCAGACAGGTGGAGGAGCTTGTCGCTAAGGGATTTCTTCGTGAAAGTCTTAGTCCGTGTGTCGTTCCAGCGTTGTTAATCCCAAAAAAAAATAACACTTGGCGAATGTGCATTGATAGTCGTGCTATCAACAAAATCACAGTACGCTATCGATTTTCCATTCCCCGCCTTGATGACTTGTTGGATCAGATTGGTACTGCATCTATCTTTTCTAAGCTTGATTTAAAAAATAGATATCATCAGATTCGAGTTCGCCCAGGTGACGAGTGGAAGACAGCCTTTAAAACACGAGAGGGTCTTTTTGAATGGCTTGTAATGCCCTTCGGATTAACCAATGCACCCAGTACATTTATGCGTGTGATGAATCAAGCTCTGCGTCCTTTCATTGGAAAATTTGTGATCGTCTATTTTGACGACATCTTGATATTTAGTTTATCAATGGCCGATCACATGCTCCATCTACGTGAAGTGCTTCTTGTTCTCCGACGCGAGCAGCTGTTTGCAACGCTAAAGAAATGTGAGTTTGATTCTCCTCAGGTTCATTTTTTGGGTTATATTGTTTCGTCTCAAGGCTTGGCAATCGATCCGAGCAAAGTTGCAGCAATTCAAACGTGGCCAGAACCACGTACCTTGTCGGAAACTTGAAGTTTTCATGGGTTAGCATCTTTCTATCGGCGCTTCGTTCCACAGTTTAGCAGTTTGATGGCTCCAATTACCAATTGAATACGTGTTGGCACCTTCACATGGACGCCTGAAGCTTCGTTGGCCTTCGCCATTATCAAAGACAAGCTTGGTTCTGCACCGATATTAGCACTCTCGGACTTCAACTCAG